GTCCACTGGGCAGAGGAAAAGCCCCGCCGCCGACGGTAACGTACCCCCCGACCCCGCTCCTCTCCGCCCGGGGCTCGGCCCGGTGGGCTCTGCCCCCCGGGCGCCGGCTTGGGGTACCCCTCCCCCCTCATTTCGCCTAAACAAGCCCGGGTGCTGGGTGAGGTCCCTGGGGGGGGCTGGGGGTGGTCCCCGCATTTTATGGGAACCGGTAGATGATTTGCGAGGAAAAGCCCTTAGACGCCCATCACCGTGCGCGCTCCTCTCCGCCCGGGGCTCGGCCCGGTGGGCTCTGCCCCCCGGGCGCCGGCTTGGGGTACCCCTCCCCCCTCATTTCGCCTAAACAAGCCCGGGTGCTGGGTGAGGTCCCTGGGGGGGGCTGGGGGTGGTCCCCGCATTTTATGGGAACCGGTAGATGATTTGCGAGGAAAAGCCCTTAGACGCCCATCACCGTGCGTGCGCCCCTCGCCGCCCCTCTGCGGGGACCCGGCCCCGGGGGAGGAGAGCTGCGTGACCCTTCCGCGAAGGAAAAGACGGACAGGGATTTTAGCCGAAAACGGGAAACTTGGATGTCTTACCTAGAGAGAAACCCATCTCCCCTCCCCCTGCTTTCACGTAGCCGATAGCTGACAAGGGGAGCCGGGAATATCCCCCATCTACCCCCCCCGCATGCCGAGCAAACATCTGGGAGGAAAATATGTTAATGTAGAGACAGCGCCTTGTTTTTAATTTTCCCCTCCTAGATTCCTCTCCTCAAAATAAAAGAGCCAACACAACAGAAGAAGAGGTGTCAGACGACTCCCCCAGTGCCAGTTCAGTGGAGCAAACACCCAAGAAATCGAGCCCGAGAAGACTTCAGACGTAAACCGTTTAGGTAGGTTCCCGGTAGGGTCCTGGCGTGAGGATGCAAGTGAGGGAAGGGTGACCGAGGGGGCATCCTCCTCCTTTGAGGGATGGGGCGGGGGGGTGCTTCGGGCCCCCTCCGGGCTCGCAGCGGGCTCGTTTCGCCGAGGTGAGGGCGGCTTTCCCCCCGCGCCTGGGGGTGGGGGTGTGT